TACATATTACTTATTACTTTTTCATCTTCAACAATATGTGTCAAAGAGAATCAAGTCTGCTGAAAATCTGGGTTGGATGATTAGTGGTGTCCCAAATATTAACACAAATAGTGTAGACTGTGGCAGGAATAATGCCATAGGGGAAGGGAGAGTTATTCACATAGGCTAATGTTAGCTTTATGCAAAGTAGTTCCCTGGTTGTATCTGTAGTCTGTCAAAGGAGATAGACTTTTCCAGAGGATGATTCAAAGTGGCTAGTGCTTACCACTCTAGAGAAGCTTTTTTCCTCTCCATTAACTTTAGATGGGATTAGCCTCCCTCAGCTAACATCAGCCCAAGTGAATAGTCCTCTAGATGTTGTCAGCAGTGTGGAAAAAAACCCCAACCCCAAAATTACGTCACTTGATGTTATCGACTCCTTTTTTTTTTTTTAAACTATGATGCAATTTCTGATAAAATAAATCTGGATTTTATTCTCCTTTCTCTGGTCTAAGTAAGCAGTGATTGTTAACAGTGAAACTGAGAGGGTGTAAATAGAAACAGAATAATTTATGTTGAAAGGAACCACTGGAGGTTCCTGGTCTGATCCTTTTTCAAGCAGATTCACTCTCAAAAATCCTGGTGCAACGAAATGTAAGGTTTTAGAATTACAAAGTACATCCAGAATAGTCCATCACACCTTTAAGAGTGAAGACTGGCTGCATCTATGGCAGATACACTACTGTCAGACACAAGTATTAGACCAAAACACATGGATAGATGGGGCTGAAGGTATTGTTAAGTGTTGGCCTGTTCTCTCACAGACATCCTGTGGCCACATGCATCCATATCTCTTCTCTAAGTGGCTTCTCTGTCATCCCTGATAAAAGAATACCTTTCTCTTCCACTTATATGCATGAGGAGTTGACATCTTTTAATGCAGGAAAATGAAGAAGATTATATGATTTGATGTCAGAAGATATGTTGTCTCGCAAGTATCAGACTCCTAATTTGCTAAACTTCGGCACTTTAGAAATACAGCCAAACATCAGTCCTTAACAGTGATCTTCAGTGTGACACATGCAGTCAATAAAGGCAGGAGATGGAATCAGGTATTTCAAAAAGGTCAAAATGAAAAAAAAAAAAAAAATATATAAACCTCTTCATTTACTAGTGCTGTGTTGACAGAGCTCCTTTAATTTGGGGTGCCTCACTTTTCAAGAGTTATTTACAATGAGAGCAGAGCAGCAACAACAAGAACTCCATTTTAAACCTGATTTTTCAGTCTGTTGCTGCCTTTCAATGCTTGAGAGCCTTTGAGTATTTATTCCCAAGCTGGGTAATTACAACCCTGCATTTTGCTTGACTTGTGTTTCCCAATTTCACCTGTATTTCGTCTCTTCAAATAGCTCTGTTATTTCTGACTGATTACTAACCATTCCTCTGTGTGTCTGATCCATCTGAATAGCAGAAGATATCTCCACATGAACCAGAGGCTCTTACATTCCATGCTCTGATTACACAGAAAACACTCCTGAAGATTACACAGTAATACATAAGCAGTACTGCCATAAAATACAGCCCCTCGTTCTACAAGCAAGCTGATTAAACCCATGAGAACTCACATGCACAAGACCTCCAACAAGCTTTTGCCTTACAAGTAGTGCTTTATTGTGTCTGAAGTTTCCTTCTGATTTGTAATGGAGAAGCATGCAGTAGTTCTGCAATTATGTGGTTAGAATCAGCCAAGTAACAACTGTACTTTCGGCCAGAACAATGAATGCAATCATGAAGCAATTAGTGCAGGCAGCAGATGGTTTGCTGCTCTTTTTTGCTCTAGACTGGAAGGAAAAAGCCATGATTGAATAAGGGACTGGTCTGTCAGAAGTGGTAATTCAAGTCTGCTGCCCAAGGCAGAGACACGGGAGATATGTGAATAAAAGTAACAGTCACTGAACCTTAAGGAGTTGTTGCTCGTCAGCAGAACCCCAGTAATTAACCACGTTCACTCATAAACAACACCCAAGAAAGTGGGACATAAAATTACTTCAGTTAAAACAGATTCCCTATCATTCAGTAAATCCCTATTCAAACAAACAAAAAAGATCTTATCATAGTGATAGGCTCAGTGGGCTGTGAAGAGCTTGAGGGATGATTCTATGTGACCCATTTCCTGTTGATTACTACTGAGCAATGAGAGGTATGGACTACTGTTGGTTTTGCCCTCATCAGTCCTGAATTTGATGGATAACCTCTGAGAACAAAAGCAGTCCAGATCCAACGGGATTCCTGTCTCTCCAGCTCCTGCTCTTATTCACCACCTCATTCTCCTGATCCCATTTGCTGCAATGGCATGATGCAAATGGATGACAACAATCACGTTGCAAGAACGGTGCAAACATGTTTTCTGGTTGATTCTCACCTCCCTCCTGTCAACAGCAAAATTAAAATGACTGTGCTAACCATTATTGGTCAACATCCAACTCGCCCTTTAAAGTCCCTATCAACACCTTCACTGAACCTTGAATCAGTGGCATCAAAGTTAGTGGCATCAAAATGTAAATTCTTCACCATGCAGATATGTTTCCCTTGCTTCCTTGGGTGACTCAGTCAGTATGCACACAGTGCCTGGAATCCAAGCAGTAATGGGTTCTCTTTCCTTAAATATGGCCTTAGCACAAGATCAGGAAACATCTAACAGCAGTGTCATTTGTTCCAAAGTACCCCACAGCTCCCATTGCAATTATCTAAATACCTGCAGGACCTCTTAATTACTCTCAGAAAATTCTGCCTTTGGATATACAAACATGAAACCAATGGGAGTCATTTACACTTAGCCATAGGCTGAACCTGACCCTTGGTTTGAGTTACATTTAATTTAGTCCAAGCTGATTAATACTCTTTGCCTGCTGGTTACCCTCTACAGTTCTTGGCCAAAGCTTATTAAGTCAGAAAATGTATCCATTAGGCTTTAAAGTAGAAACCAGGCCTGTGACTCATACCCATTCAGAGCACTTTTAAAATTCTATTTTTAAGTTAATTGGTACAGATCTACAGACCTTGTGCTACCTGATTTTTGGCTTGCAACTAGAGTACTGAATTACCAACAGTTATCCAATTTGCTAATCAACACCATAGAAAAGAAATTTTATCACACAGCCTACAGCCTCTCACCCCAAACACCCCATACACCCAACTCTAACCCCATAAATTCAGGTTAATGCATGAAAGGACCCTTTGTTCTTATATCCATATTGGTTTTTAGGATTCTGTACAAGTGGGAGTTTCCTACAGAATAGTGTCAATACTTGTTGGTAGCCATCTATCATAAACTGAATAAGCCTTAGCCGTATGGTCTCTAATTCAGAATTATTTTCTGATCAGACTGAACACCATAACAGCTGAAATAAATTTTCTAGTATATCATACTTTTATTTGACAAAGTTCCCATTGAAAGTTTCATTGCTCTTCATGTAATAAATTTTCCGTTTACTAACACACAGTAATGTTCATTTCAAAGGGTCCTGAAAAGACATCAGAGACCAGCTTCTGTTCTGTTTCATATCAGTCCAGAGAACTCAACAGTCACAAGGGAAAGGAAACATTCTGACCTTGTCTAATTAACACTGAACACCCAGAAATAATTTAATCTGCACCTTCCTCTGAACAGAGTTATAACCACAGTACACTCTACAAAATGCTGTGAGAGGAATGAGTGAAAAATACTGGTGGGGAAGATGCATTTCTCAGTTGCAAAGGATATTATGTTACAGTCCTGGAAGGTTTTGAATTTAAAATGCAGGACTGAAATATTCAAAAAATTTCAATAAGATCATTTTGTGACCTTACCTAGTTACTTAGTTATGGTTTAATTTTCTCAGGCTTACAGTAAGAGTAACAACAAGACTAATCTATGCAAAAGGAAAATTAGTTGTTCAATGCTTTTACAATGAATTAAAATATACAGATGCAAAACATCATAAAATTCAAACTTTTATGTTGACGCTTACATTACCATATAATGAACAATTCAGCTAATATAATTATTGCTTCAACTCAACAGATTTTTTTTGACTTTCCAGTTTTATTGAAAAATGTCAAAATGACAGGATGTGAAATCTGCCATTTCTCAGAGCAGTTTTCTCCAATGGCCAGTTACTTCAGAGCAGAGTTTGTGTGCCATTGACTCCTAACCACCAAATTTTGTTAGAAGTTTTTACTGCTGGACCAAAATGCTTGCTCCTGTGTTTTGTCTTCCCCCACAGAGATATTTATGCACAACCATATAGTCTCCCTTCAATCTTTTTGTTAAACTAAACACATTGAGGTCTATCAAGTCCTTCACTGGAAGACAACTCCTTGTGAGTATTGATGTGTCTGATTTTCAAAAAGTTCTAACAGTGAGTTCTCCAAAGTAAAGTCTTGTGTTATTGTGTTAGGTTGGGTAGCAAAAAATCACAGCAAATCTCACAACATATTTATTTGGCTGATGGATTACCTGTACTGAAGGAACTGGACTTCAAAGAAAATTGATTCACTGCTACTTTTTCTCTTAGAAAATCAAAGACTACTTGAAAATACGCCAACCAGATACGAACAAGGATTGTCTTTTACTGTTCTTGGAGCTGATGCTAGGCTGGAGCAAGAGAATTGTCAAATAAGAGGACAAAAGCCTCATTAGAGGTTGTTATTCCTGCAGTGAAGGATCCTAGCTGTCTTCTTTGCCCATTGCCTGTCAAACAATATTGCCAAAAGGACAGATGACTAAATGCAGACTGCCAGATCAGTAACTGAGGGCTAGGCCCCAAGAATACAATAGATACCCATGTCCTTTACTTTGACCTTTACATTAAGGCTTGCTCAATGTTTTCTGCTTGGAAATACCAAACTGGTATTTCCAAAGACTGTCCTGGTATCACCCCCAAGACCACCTGAATGTTCTGCAGCAGTTACACAAAGGGATGGAGAAATCCCAAGTTCTTCCTAAACAAACAAAGCAAAATGCTGCCAACAATTCTTACCTTCTGATCTTGGCTGTAGGCTAAGATCCAATCTTCCTGCTTAGGGTGGAAGAGCAGACTGTGGATGTAGAAGTTCAGACGATATTTTTGATAGGTGGCTCCTTCGTCAGAACTGATTAATAAGCTGCTTTCAACTTCTGGATCAGTCAGCAGCATAATCTGTATGGAAGGGAAAGATGAAAATATAGTGGTGAAGAGAAGTCAGTGATTGAAGAGTAAGCAAGCAGCTAGGAACTATAGAAAACCTTATTAAATATGGCTATTTCAAAATGTTTTAATGTAATGTCAAAACTGCCATAGTCAATATTTCAATAATTAAAACAGTATATTTCAGCTATGCATATAAACACATAACATATGACCAAAAAAGCAGAATGACTTTATCACTAGTTAAACCAGATCTAAATGAAGTTATGCTTAGGTTATTTGAAAAATTAAACCTGAAATTTTTAACACTAGGGCACAAACTTACTAAGTTACCAGACAGGCACAGTGGGGTGCTGGGTTCTTCAAGAATGATCTATTGGAGTGGCAGACAAAAAGGTGTTAAGAAAATAAGAAAAAAAAAAACCAAAAAACAAAAAACCAAACAAAACAGAGAGAGGAGAGTGACACATTAGAGAAGGATCTCTAATGGTGAGTTTTGTTAGACTCTGCCAGAAATTTCAGAGAAGACAGTTTCATTGCCTGAAACATTATAACCTGGCTGTCTGCAACAAGCAATCTTGCTCTGGCAGAACACGTCTGATAACATGATGGAAGGTTCTTTCCATCTCCAGTTCTATGAATTACAGATTTGAAAGTATATAAAAAATAATCTCTGCATAGTAAATTTGCTTTCTAGCTTTGCCCAGGAGTGTTAGTTTAGCAGTCACAAAAGATATACGACTCGTAGTTGTAGTAGCTACTTCTCCTCATTAACTGTGGTATTAATTGGTCTGCACTGCTGATGAATCAGAGAGAATAATGAGTTACTGCTCTCATGTGTCTCTGCATGAGAGAATGTATAGGTCTAATCAGTAAAAAGAGATCATTCCAGTATTTCAGCATGCAACAGAGTAATATCCCTAAGGAATGGGAATGAGGTATCATGACTGAAAACCATGAAAAGTTCTAAAGAACATTTGCCTGGAAATGTATTAAAGCCTTGAATCATTAGGATTTTTATTTTATTTTTTTCTAAGTTGCTCTGCAAATGGCAAACACTGATTTGGTCTTTAGACAAGCCTGAAATGAAAGGATCCACACCTGACATTTCTCAGAGCAAATTCCTATCTCGGTTTGAGCATTGTAAAAATCACACACTCCATTTCCTTCTCTTCTTTCATTTAGGCAGGCAGAGTTAGACATAACTTAACTCACTACCCTATGAATTATAAGGAGACATAGCATCTGCTGTCTGATATACACCAGATGCTAAAGAACTATTTGTATGTGAAGGTGTAAATACACATATAATCTACACAGAATATCTTCTTCACTATTGTGCAGCTGCCAAGTGTTTTATTTTCTATCTCTAGAAACCTCCTTGGTAGCACAATTTGGTCTGTGACTTAGAAGTCTGGGGTTCTGCAAAATCCCTGAACTTTCTGATTAATCTGAATTATCACAAAGCAGTTACATTACCCCACTGTATCTCTAACATAAAATAGGATAGGGTTCCCACTGTAGCAAAAAGTTACCGTCTCCTATTATATCTCTGATTTATTTTAGAAATTTGTGATGAAAACATGCATTATTATACATTTTTATTTTCATTTAACACTTCCAAATATATCAAGCATATTTTTGATGTGACTTCTAAACTGAAGATTGTACGATATAAGCTACACAGAAAGGATTAATAATCAAAATATCAATATATATATAATCTACTGCCACTAAGTAGCCTAGCTTCTGAAGCCAAAAATTAATTACAATGTTGTTTATCAGTTGGTTCTTTTTTTTCTTAACAGACTAATTTCTGGAACAATGTTCCTATGTTTAACATTTATTGATTCAGTACTATGATTCAAGTATTTTGATTTTCCTATTTTTATTACTTCCCTCTTGAGTGGATTTTGTTTATGTTAGTATTTGGAAATATCACAGCACAGCACTAATTTGGACTAGAGCAACTAGAGCAGAAATAAGCACAAATCAATGGGCTTGATCCGAGCTCCCCGAAGTTAATAAGAGTCTTGTCATTGACTTTGGATTGTGCCTCTAAGGCAAGTTGTTAATCAAGATCCAGTCTAGCCCCAAATATTTCCTTCTGCCTGCACAAGGAACTCATCTGACCTCATCACTGTCACATCCAAGCACATCATTGCCTCAACACATTTTCTGTTAGGCCACTCCTCTGAAGTGCAAAAGTGCTCTTATCTGCATTTCTTAGAAAGGGAATCCAGGGATAAACTCTGGAGGCACTGAAGCACCTAATTCCTCATCCAATCAATAAAAGTTAAGTGCCTGAACAGACTTGCTAACACTGCTGACTTTGGCTTTAATCTGCTCACTGCCACGCTGGGCTATTAGTACTTTGTTTTCAGGTATCTACGGGTCTCCAAACACCCTGGCTATTGCACTGTGATTACCAGCCATTCTGTACCTAAGAAGAGTTTCAGGACACACCAGTTTTGCCACACATGCCAACAGCAATAGCACCTTAGACAGGCAGAGCTGTCCTGAACTGCTGCAGGTTTGTGGAAGGGCACACAGAGAGTCATAGACAGGGGAGGGAGTTGATGGATGACTCCAGCCACCATCAGGGTGCTGACTATGAGACCAACTATCAGCATTATCTGCTCCAGTGTTGTACCCCGTATTACCAATCACTTTGCACAAATGTCATAAGACAACACAAGGTAGAGTTGAGTATCAGTCACTACTCACATCACAGTCACAACACCACGTTTCTTACAAGATAAGAAAAGCAAATTTCATTATGATATATCTGTGTGTAAATAATCAGTGTTACAAGCCCAAAAGATAGTATTTATTGGAAAAGCAGAATAAATTGATACCTACATGAAAAATACATCAAAATGAGAGGAAAATGCTGTGTATATCTACATAAACATTTCAGATCAGACCAGGAGTGTTCTTCTGAAATGAACCCTGCCAAATTTCGGGGGAAATTTCTACAGCAAGTCCTCACACATTGTGTTCTGACTTATACCACAGTGATCTCAGAGGACAGGAGTTGCATACCTCTTCAAGAACACTAAATCAGAACATACCCTGTCCATGGCACAGGCTTAGAACTAAATAACCTTTAAGGTCCCTTCCATCCCAAACCATTCAATGATTCTGTGATACATTTCAGGAGTGCATCTAATATTTTCTAACCACTACTGGACACTCAGATCAGAGTATCAGGTTAGCACTACTCTAAAGTCAGACCCTCTGCCTCCTAAATGCCCAGATTGCAGATGTCATCTCAACTCCAACCATTTTATTCTACAAACACACTTCCACTGAGCTGCACTACATGGTAATGTGGTTGCAGTCACATTAGTTTAGTTTTATTGCCCAAGTTGCCTGGAATATAAACGAGAAAGGAGGGAAAGTACAATTAATTTTAATGCTTTTGTTGTTGCAGCATATGAAATACAGAGCAAGTACACTTCAGAATTTCCTTTGAAATAAATTATTCCAATTTCTTTTTGAAGTAGTCTATTATCCATTGACTTGATACAGTTCCTCATACAGAAAATACAACTGGACACAGATGTGTTGAACAGGAAAAGCAAGAAAGCCAAAACCAGCAATGATAACAAAAGTGAATCTAAGTTTAGATGCCATATCTAAGAATATGTAAGAGATTATAAATAAACTATTTTTATAATTTTCAGCTTTACTATGGAAAGCATGCTGAATTTCCTGAAATGTGAGTTCCTCAAAGGAGTATCAAACATCTTGCTCTGTTTCCATGGTGCCTAATACAACATATTTCTGCTTTCCCAGCTAACATTGGGGTTTGGATGAGTATATTCTGAATATCACTGAGGAATCAACATGACCTCTCTACATGAAAATGAAACCTTAAATCTATCCAGGTCCTTGGAGCCTGTTGGGAAAGACAACCTAGCTAATGAAGTCATACAGGACTTTTGAGGTATCTCCTTACCAAAGGATCTGAAGTTACCATGGGATAAATGCCTGGAAAAGACCTCTAAGATTAAAGAGTCCAACCATTAAACTAAAACTGCCAGGTCCAGTTCTAAACCATGTCCCCACACCTACACACTTTTTGAATGCTTCCAGGGAGAGTGATTCCACCACTTCCCTGAGCAGCCTGTTCCAATGCTTTTTTTTAGGCACTCTTTCAGTGAAGAAATTTTTCTAATATACAATCTAAACTTCCTCTGGTCCAACTTCAGGCAGTCTCCCCTTGTCCTATTGCTTGTCACCTGGGAGGAAAGACCGACACCCACCTGTCTACATAAATAATAATAATAATATTATCAGCTCAGGTGGGCTGATCAAGCAACTTCTTCTGTGATGAATTGGGCCCATGATTTTTATGTTGACAGTTTTTAAACTACCTCTGATTCCACCATAAAAAAGTATAGTTATTAATGCAGGAGTAGGAAAAGCCGTACTCATCTGCCTCTCACTTTCAGTAAAAGCCCTTTGTAAAGGGAGACCAACCTTAGAGTGCCTCTGGTGTGGTTTATTGTTTGTCTTTTGTTAAATGAAAATAAAGAGTGAGTATGAGCCAAGACTCTACTTCTCCCCAGCAAAAGTAATTGCTCTCTGTTCAGATCAGTGCTCAGCAATGATCAGAACCTGCTTATTCACACCAGGCACAGCAAGCACACACTGCACTTCCTGATGGCCCAGATGGATTAGGTTTTTTCTCTAAAAAAAAAGTCAATATAGTCGACACAGGCTTTTGCAACAAAATGCAAGGCATTCATTAATCATTTACACCCCAAAAAGGAAGAAACTTGATCTGCTTTTCCTAGAAGTGACAAATGAACACAAAATATAATTTATAGATCTTAAACAGTCCTAAATTTTTCACCCCTTTTTTGATGTTAACTGCTGATGACAGATTTCTCTTGACAATTATGTGCATTTTTGCTGTCCTCACAAAAAACCAGGAACTATTAGCAAGAGGATTCTGATTTTGCTTCTACAGATGGAATTGGGATCCTTGTGTGACTACCCTG